ATGATGCCTTCTAAAGATTAAGTCCCTGTGTACATAAAAAAAACTTTTTCCAATAGGGTGAAAAAAACCCCAACCTTACTGACTGGGATAAAAACATTTAGTAACGTCATTTCAAACAAGTGTCTTATAACACAAGTTTACAGAATATTAGCATGCCACCACAAGAAAAAGACTGGTAATCCAATTTACAAAATAGACAAAAGACACGGAAAGACTTTTCCCAGAGGAAGACATTCATATGGCCAACAGACATATGAAGAGATGCTCAAAATCACTGGCAGTAAGAGAGATGCAAATCAAAACCACAATGAGGTACAATCTCACTGCAGTGGCAAAGTTTAACAGGACAGCAAGCAATAAACATTGGAAATGATATGGAAAAATTGAAACTCTCATACACTGTTGGTGGGACTGTAAAATGCTATAACTCTGGAAGACCGTTTGGCATTTCCTCAGAAAGCTGAATGTAAAAATTCCATATGACTCAGCTATGCCACTGCTAAGAGCATGCCCCAAGGAAAATAGAACTAGGACACAAGCAGAGATTTTTGTACACTGGTGTTCATAGTAGTATTATTCACAATAGTAAGAAAAGGGAAATAGCCCAAATTAATGAATTGCAAAATTGTGGTATATTCACATAATTATGTAAAAAATTAGTATATAATATGGGAGAGGCTGAAGAATATATGCTGACTGAACTAACTCAATCTCATAATGCACAGGACAAATAATGCAAAGGACCATCACAGTAAAAAAATACAAAGATTACAAATAAATTGTGTAAAAGGTTCAAGGCGGGGTGGGAGGAGGGTGAGTCAAAGTGGGGAGTTGGGGGAAATTTTGAGGTGGCAGAGATTGGTGGGCAGAAGGAGGGGGTGAAGGAATTAGAAAAGAACCAGTGAGGATCTGAAAACATGGGGTAATGGTGAGTTTTAATCAAGGTGATTAATTTTGTAAAACACAAAGTATGGGAATGATTGTATGAAACACAATAGGAAGAAAGGAATGTGTGAAACACAACATATATGAATGAAACAGTGTATACAAATTCTCTATGCAAACCAATATAAAATAATTTTTTTTAAAAAGGTATCTAACTAAGGGGGGAAAAAAAGCAAGTTTATGGAATTCATAATAGTTGGTTGGGTTTGGTGGAGTGTTTTTTTTTAATAGTGAGTAAAAGAGAAGAAAGAGAGAGAAAAGACAAATATTAGGACAAGCAGTACAGCTTAGATAAGTAAGATTAATCTTGGTTACTTCATTGCTTCCTTCGTTTCAAATAGGCTTTTAAAATTAGAGAATGTTTTTTGTTGTTGTTATTTGTCCCAATTGGTTTCTACTTGACTCTTTCTCGATTCTTGAAGTGCTTCTTTGGATTAAAAATAAGCTGGAATGGAGTGTTCTCGGAGCCTGGCTTCATGGGGTAACCTCTGAAAACCACAGAGTTGGAGAGTCTGCTGTTCAAGAGGGATCTGTCTACTTAACATAGGTCCTTGGGCAGCACAGATGGTTTGAGCTTGGCCAAATGATACGACAGTCAAGCATTCTGTTAACCAAAAGTTGGCAGTTTGAACCCAGTAGCTGCTCTACTGAGGAGAAGAGGCAATCTGTTCTTTTAAAGTATAAATGGCTGGACAATATTATGGGACATTTCTGCTGTATTAGAGGGGGTTTGCTATGCATCAGAACTGACTTGACAGCACAAAACAAGAAGTAACCTAAAGGTAGTTGTACTAGACTCTATGGCACCTAAAACCCACAACTACAACCATGTGCTGGACCTGGGCCTTTATAAAGAAGCTGCTGTAAGAAAGAGAAGGAAGTCAAGAAAACTTTATCAATCAAAACCAAAGATTCACCCCCCCAAAAAAAGCCTTGCACTCCTATGTAAAAAGAACGTTTTCCTTGATGAAATGTCTTCATTCATCACAAGCTATCAAACTGCTGCTCCTTAATGAACTGTTGTTGTTAGGTGGCCTCAAGTCAAGTATGATTCACAGCAACCCTCTGAACAAGATATGAACCCTGTTCTATCCTGTGCCATCCTTACACTTCCTGACACACAAGAGGCCGTTGCAGCACTCACCGTGTCAATCCACCTGGTTGAGGGTCTTCCTCTTCTTCACTGACCCTCTACTTTTCCCATCATACCCTTGGCATCTTGATCTTCTCCAAGGAATAGCCCCTCCTAGCAACATGCCCAATGCATGTGAGGCGAAACCTCATCACTTCTAATGATGTTGTATCATAGAGTCAGAACTGACCCATGGATGACCTTCCTGAGGGTTTTTAGAGCCAATTAATCACAAACGAGGAGATTGTCTATCCTCCCACAGAGCAGCTGGAGGCCTCATAGAATGTGCCTTTTTGATTGTCCTGCACCTTCTTGCCACTAGGCCACCAAAGCTCCCTACTCCTAGTGAATAGGCTTGTCAATGTATAAATGGAAACCTGCAGAATAAATATCCTCCAAAGCAAAAAAGCCTCAAAAGTGTCTTAAGGAGCATTACATTCCACCTTTAATCCTTTTACACCTCAATTTATCAGATCACGGGAGACTGTTTTATAACTTGAACATTATATCATTACACACTTGTCTTTTGGGAAGAGGAAAAGATATCACATAAATTAAGACACTTTTGAGGCTTTATAGTACGCCTGCAATATGAAAGGGGAGGAGAGGGAGCTGAGGGGAGGCGGGACCTCAGTACAACCAGGAAAGAACTGCTAGGAGTGGAGTGTGTCCTAGTCAGGGGGGCTCCTCAGTGATGAGCCTCCTTCAGACTGAGGCAGGTGGGTACTTACAGAGATCTTCAAGAAAGTCTATGCCTGCAGATCTAACAGAAACAAAGAACTTCCTCCACAACGAATACAGACTGAGAAGACCTTTCCCTGGGGCGGGCACCCTGACATTGGACTTCTAGACACTTAAATATAAAAAGAATAACTTCTGCTTTAAAAAAAAACACAGTGAACATATATTTTTTAGGGGTGAGGGGGACAAAATTCAATCCCAAACAGTCATTTTGGAGAAACAAGACACATGTATTTTTTAGTTTAATAGTAGTTCAAAACACTTGGAAATGGATTACCAGAATGGGATTGCTTTTAAGGCACTGGAGACAAGGACTATACATGTAAACTGTGAGAATTCTATTTACAGTTGAGGGCTGGGTGGTTATGTTACCCATATCGAATTGTGCTGCTAACCCGAAAGCCAATAGTCTTCAACTGTTCTAATCCACCAATTACTTATTACTCTCAGGGAGAAAAATGGATAGTCTCCTACCATTATGACTTACAACCTCAGAAACTCATTGGAGGGTCACTACTCATCCATTTGGGGTATCTCTGTAAAACAAGATTAGGTAACTCGGGCACAGGGAAATCATGACGTGTTTTGTGGCATGTTTTGCACTCCACAAGCTTTGGAGTCTGGGGGTAAGACTGAAAGAGTATGACTAAAGAATACATCTGATAAGAAGCTCATTTTCACACAAATATATGGATTTTATTGATAGTAGATATTTTCCTTACAGTAATAAATAGAAATGAATGTTTTAAAGGGTTGGTTGGGAACTGAGATGGCATTGTGCCTTTCAGAGCAGCAGAGTTTTCACTAATGTCTTCTTCACAAATACCTCTCAGAAGAAGTCTGTGGTTACAGATGTGCATGACATCGGCATCATTCCTAAGTGGCTCTCTGTAGCAGAAAGGAAACTGGGCCAGTGTCACCCAACAGTACCCACTCATACTCCAGTTTTAACCTCAGATGATAATAGCATTAAAAAAGAGCTAGTGCCATAAAAAGGTCATTTCAAATATAAAAAATTCTTTTGTACAAATATAATTCATAATCATCCTTAAAATACAGCATTGCTATGTAGAAGTTTGAAACATTATTAAAATAAATAACATTTCCTAGAGAAAAATCTCATTTGCATCACAAAATTATAAAACTGGTGCATGTGTATAAAACTAATCAATTTGTCAGCGTGCCCCCCTCCCCCGCCCCATTTTGTGTAGACAGGATTAAGCGTATATAGGTAGCCTGGAAATGGACATCACCCTTTGAACCCAGATCCTCACAGCCTGTGTATGTCCACCTCGAATACCCCACAGCCCTTATACTCGAGTACTCTCTACCAGAACCTTCTGTGGGAACGCTTTCCAGCACAAAACTACACTACTTTCCCAACAGCCTTTCAGTTCAGAGGTCTTGCACACTTAACTTTCTGGAGGTTTCCACATCCAGGGAGCTTTCCTCTGTTCCCTGCATGTGACTGTAACAGGCCCTTTCCCAGATCAGAGGTGTGTCCTGCTAACTGTATTATTTGGATTGCTAGTAGAGCCTGGAGGTATTAACTGAAAACTGTAGGGTCAGAGAGTTCTCTTTGCCCACTAATCCCTCAATATTGAGTAAGGCATATTGGGTGATCTCTCACTCACAGTGTTCCAATACTTGCTCAGAATTCGAACAGTTAGGATCCTTAAGAGACACTATAGCTATGCTTCTAGAGAGCTCGTACGGAAAGTTATTAACTATAAATACCTTGGAGGGAAAGGAGGAAGGAAAAAGGCATGAAAACCACAAATAAACCACTAAAGTTTCCAGCTATCATCATTACATTGCATTTCTTAGTCATGATTTCAGCTGGTCACCAATAATACAAATGAACAAGTTCCACTACATAGCTGAGCTGGCCAATATTGATAGCCTCCTTCCAATTGTACCTAAGGGAAGAGTTTTCTGGAAGATCCAGCTTGAGCAGGGTAAGTCGTAAATCTTCAAGGACTCAAGGTTCCCACCACACAATTTGACCAGGAAGCCATTTATCCAGGCCCATGTGGACGTCATTAGTTCTTCCTACCAACACTTTTCCTTTTTCATAAAACAAAACAAAGCCTTATGCATTCTTGTTTCATGAGGCAAAGGCAATGGTTTTCTCCTCTAACTCCACATGCGACTCGCCCACGGTAAACGTGCGTACCGTCCTCTAAAGCCGGGTTTCTTGCACCTCTTCCTCTGTCTCCTCCTTCAGAGCGGTGATTTGGGGTCTGGACTTGTGTTTGCTTGAGTTCCGGTGAGGGAAGAGCTTCAGGCGGTCCGAGGAGCTGATGGCTTGCCGGAAAAGGCTCTTCTCACTCAGCAGCTTCTGGATGGATTCGTACTGCCGCACTCTGTTCTCCTCTATGACCTAGGGAAAGGGCCGTCAGTAAGGTGTCAGACAGACAGAGGTGTGTCAGACAGACAGAGGTAGGTCAGACCAGGGCAGGACAGACAGTAGTGGGACCTCAAGGGAACACAGAGCCAAAACCGTAATGAAACCACATCAACTGCACTTGAGTTTGTTTCAACAAGTACCAACCCACTGAATTTTGAAGGCTATAAATCACAACTGCAGATTTCCCATGTTTCTCCCAGCGAGGAGCTTATGGATTCCAACCCCCAGAAATGTGGCCTTTGGGTTAACAGCTCAATGTTCTACAGTCTAGACCACCAGAGTTACCTAGACATCACCCAGGAACTCACATTTTTTTAAATTTTTTTAAAATTTTTATTATTATTTTGTGTGTGTGTACCGTCAAATCAGATCTGACTGGTACAGGAGGAGATTGTCCCTCCTTTCCCGGCAGAGCATCTGGTGGATTCGAACCATGCACCTCTGGGATTGCAGTGCAGCTTCTTGCCACTAGGCCACCAGAGCTCCCCAAAACTCACATTTTAAATAGTCAGCTGTCTTTCCTTTAACTCTGCATACTCATGCTTTAAGGAGATTCTATCTTCTGTGAAGGGAGCTCTGGGGCCCCAGCCAGTAAGGAGTTACTCTGCCAACTCAAAGGCTAGCAGGTACTCTTGAGGAGAAAGGTAGGCTCTCTTCTCCTGTGCAGTTTACAGCATTGAAAACCTAACGGAGGGTCAGCTATGAGTGAGTTCCAACTCACTGACAATGAATTTCATTTGAGACCATTTGTGTAACCTTGAGTGGTACAAATATTTTGCTCAGCAGTTTATGGAAAGGTTGAAGATTCAAGTTCACCCTTGAGGCAACTCAAAAGAAGATCCTGGCTATCTATGTCCAACAAAACCAGCCCCTAAAAGCCCCTGGAGTGCAGTTCTATTCTGACAGCCACGACATTGCTGTGTGTCAGAGTTCTCTAGGAGGCAACTGGCTGAGAAGTTAGCTGTCATTTTTTTCTTATCAGTTGGAAATCTGCTTTCTTTTTATAATTAGTCTAGTCCTGGACAAGGAGCCCTAGTGGCACAGAGGTTGACATCTAGATGCAAACCAAAAGGCTGGAGGTTCAAACCCACTCAGTGGCTCCAAGAGAGGAAAACTGTGAAGATCTGCTTCCGTAAAGATTGTGCTGAAAACCCTCCAGGGCAGATCTACTCTGTCACATGAGGTAAAGATGAGTTGGAATTGACCTGATGTCACCCAGCAAAAGCAACATAATATTGGAAAGAGCCTTTTCTCAGAGGGCCTTAGAGGAATTCTATGTGCTTTGAACCCAAGAATGATTCATATTAAATTCTCTCTAGGTTACCTAAAAATCAGCCTCTATAACAATTGCTCTGAAGCCTAACAAGCCCAGGTGTGATACACTGAATATACTCTCTTTGCAAACCCACAAGCCGAGGTGAGAAGGGCTTGATCCCTTGATCCAGCCCTCTGGACATGTTTGCAGCAGGGCAAGGGGTTCAGACCCAGCCCCCTAATTCACCTGAAGCTTAGTAATGAGGATAGTCACCACACTCTCTCAGTAAGGACACATCTACCTCCGGGAGGCTCAGAAAACTGAACAGATATGACACAACACGGCACCATCCTCAGAGATTGTCGATGACTAAACCAGAGGAATGTGTAAACAGCCCTTGAAGGAATCCGTGACAGTCTTGAAAGCTCACCGTAAAGGTGGTTGGGTGGGGCACTAACTTGAGCTCCAAATGATGAACAGAAAAAACAAAATAAGCCTTTCAGCTATGTATTAAATCCATAAGTAAGATCTTGGGGGAAATCCAGGCCTTTCTTGGACCCTGTTCAAGAGATACTTAGTTCTTGAAAGGACAAGGTATTTGTTTTAAATGGTAGAGTCTTTTATACAACTTAGTGCCAAAATAATGTACTCAAGAATTTAGATACCCCAATTTATTTATGTCTCAAAAATTACTGCCATCACGTCAGAAATGACTCTTAGCTGATCCTTCCGTGGGTTTTCTTTCTTTCATGGGGCCACGGATGGATTCGAACCACTGCCTTTGGGTAGCACAACTCCTCATCCACCAGACCACCCACCAGAGATCTGTATATATTAATACAGGATAGTTACACATTGCCATTTTTGTTTTGTTTTGTTTTTAGTTACTGACTTCCAATCTAAACTCATGTTCAGATCAAAGCCAGAAAATTGGGTAGCTATGGAGGGACATCATGGAAGAGGAGGACACCCGATGAGATAGGTTGATAAAGTAACTAGGGCAACAGGGATAATAAGTGTGTTGGAGTCAGTGAGACGGGCTACGGACAGGGCAGAGTTCAGAGCTACTGTACTGTCGCTATGAGTCACAGGCAACTCGATGGCACATAACTACTACATTCCACATGAAGGTGAAAGGCCAAATGACACAAGATTGAAGGAAGAATTTGTACATTGCCATAGTGTTCAAAGGCAGGCACCTATGAGAGTGTTACTCACACTTAAAGGGGAATTCAGATCTTCAGGAAAAGACACTCACCAAAAACCGCTGACACTCCAGCATTGCTTCTATCCTGTGTTCACACAGGATTACCGTGCAGTCAGCGAATGCTTGTTTGAGGGTTCTCCGAATGACTTGGTATGTTCTGGAAAAGAAAGAAAATCCCACAATATCCCATTACCGATTCTCCAGTTACACCACTAATCTGCCTTTATCGCTGACCATGCACCTGCCTGCTTATCAATTTCGTTCTTTAAATACTTTCAGCCTCATGTTGACAGTTACCCACCTTTAGCTTTCCAACCATGGATCAGATTCTAATGTTCCATAAATACCCAGAACAAAGATTTTTAAGACAATTTCACAGTTGAGCGCAATTTTTTCAGCATGTGAAAGCTCTAGAAATTCTTTATTTTATGCTGCAAATATTTCATATGTCACAAATAAAATACAAAGGAAGATCATAAGGCCTGATGGTACCTACATAACTGAACATTTCATCATGTGTTGATAAGTAAGAAAAGAGATTTTGTATTCTAAACTCAGAAGAGAGCACAGGACTTTTACTCTGTGAAATAAGCACTCTTGGTTACATTATACAATGACTTCTCCACTGGACAATCATTTCATGCCTAGAGGGGGCCCCTCCACCTTCAGCTCTCATAGTCCAGTGAGAAGTCCAATATGAATAGGGGCTGGAATGTTCTGTGTTTTCCAATAGCAGGATTCTGAAACTCACATGGGATCCAAATGAGCACTGGGTTCATCAAGCAGCACGATCTTGGCCTTACTGAGTACAGATCTGGCCAAGCACATCAACTGTTTGTGGCCATGGCTTAGGACGTAGCCCCCATCCACAAGGACAAAATCAAGGTTCCCAGGAAACTGCTCTATTACAGATTTGAGTCCAACCTGCACAAAGAAAGAAGGAAAGCATGTTTCTTAGGACAGCAGTTTAGATACCGTGGCCTTGTTGCTGTTGTTAAGTGTCACTGGGTTGAGTACAACTCATGGCAACACTATGAACAACAGATCTGAGCCTGTCTCAATCTGTGCCAGACTCAGAAGCTCAGACACACTTGAACCCATTGCTGCAGTCGCTGCAGTCAATGCTTCTGGTTGGGGGGTCTTTTTCACCCCAATATTTCTATTCTTCATTTTTTGGTTACTTTTTTTCCCCAATTGATTTACATATAATAATTAGTTTACATTGTGTTTCATGCATGTACACTGCGTATTATATGATCTTTCATTTACATTGTAATTCACATAATCATTCATCTACATTATATTTTGTTGTTGTTGATTGCTGTCGAGTCGAGCATTACTCATAGTGACCCTATGAACAAAAGACCTGAAGCCTTTCTATACCTATCATTTCTCAGAGTTCATAGAGTTTCCAAAGGCATGTGGTTTAGGAAGTGGACACCACATTATATTTCATTGTTGTTGTTGTTAAGTGTCATTGAGTTGCTTGCAACTCATAGCTACCTTATGTACAAGAGCCATAAGCCTTGCTCTATCCTGTGCCAACCTCACTGTCTCCGACACATCTACTCCCACCAAGGTAATAACAGGCATAGATTAATAATTAACTATATGAAATATAATGTACCATCATATCAAGGGATGGTACACTATATTTAATATAATTAATTCTTGATTTCTGCCTATTATTACCTTGTTGCCTCAGTCTGCAATGAATCCTTCCCATTCTTTCCAACGCCTCCATCTGCCCACTAAACTCTATTATCCTAGTAGTTTCCATCTTTCCCCTGGTTGGAGGTCTTAAAAGCATGCAATTATTATGAAATATGAAAAGAAACACTGGGGATATGAAAGCTTAAATTTCCCTATCAGGCCCAACTCCTACTATTTGGGCTTGAAGGAGCAAAAATCTACACTCTTGAGTCCTTGGAGAAACATAAGAATCTGCTTGAGCGTGGTGTTAATGAGGGCCTCAGTGAAGCTATGGATGAATTAGATACTATTCAGTGAGAATACCAGCTAGTTGTACAAAACACAAGTGAAGAAAGGCGAAAGGTGGGAAATAATCTACAACGTCTTTTAGAAATGGTTGCTATGCACGTGGGCTCTGTAGAGAAACATCTTGAGGAGCTGATTGCTAAAGCTGGGAATGAGTATGAAGAATTCATGTCTGAAGATCTCTTAGGAAATATTCGAGAGATTGGGGATAAGTATAAGAAGAAAGCTGCTCTACTTAAGGTTTCTGATGAATGAAGATGAAATGCTGATTACCTAAGCAAGAACTGTGTAAATTTGGAACTACTCTGTTTGACAAATCCTGTACCTTACAATGATGTTTCATAACCATTTCTTCCCAAGCCTTTGGAATAGTTTTATATCTGTATCTTTTCTAAATGTAGTTTCTTAACTTAAAATATGCATAACTTGAAATGACAATGTTGTTAAAATTGTTGCCTTTACATTTATACTCAATAAAGTTGAATTAGCAGTGTGAAAAAAAAAATCTACACTCTTGACAGCACTCATGGGTAATTCTATCACTTTTCTGTACTTCATTCATTCTAGAATTTTTAGTGACTGCCTATTGTATGCCAAGAACAATAATAGGCATTATGGAAACAACAAATAGTGCATGACTTCTTTAAGACCCAAAGTTCACAAAGAAACATACAAGTAATTATAACAATTGAATATACACTGTGCTACTTTAATCCTCATTACTTCATCAGTGAAAAATGGGGAAATAGTAACTATTGATCTCGTAAAGTTGTTAAGAGGACTGAATGGATAATTTATATAAAGGGGTAAGCACAGAGTGTGGCACATGGCAAGTACGTAGGTGTCCTCGAGTCAACTACAATTCACAAAGGACCTTATGGCCAATAGATAGAAATGTCACCCTATCCTTCACCATCCCCACCAAGCTCAAGCCCATGGAAAGCACTTGATAAATGTATCTGTTGGGCTGGTAGCTGAAAGTTCAATAATTCAAACCCACCAGTCACACCTCAGAGAAATACAAAGCAGTGTCCTCCATTAAGATTTACAACCTTGGAAAGCTGGCCAATGGTCACCATGAGTTGGAACTGGACTCAAAGGCAGTGGGTTTGGTTTTTATCTCAGAAGTAGCGTAGCCAAAATGCTTCTTTGAAACAGGGTGATGAGACTTTATCTCACAGACTTTGGGTAAGCTATCAGGCAATACCAGTCCCTGGAGAAGGTCATGATGCTTGCTAAGTAGAGGGTCAGGAATAAAGAGAGGCTTTCAATGAGTGACTGTATCAGTGGCTCAAACACAGCAGAGATTGTAAGGATGATGTTAAGATCAGGTAAGGCTTCTCTCTGATGTACCTCTGGTTCCTGTGTGTTGGAGTGTATCAGCGGCACCCAGCAACATAAGAGAATTGTTGGTAGCTGCCACAGAGTCAATTCTGACTCATGCTAGCCTCATCTGCGAAGAGAACTTTCAGAAGCAGATCATCAGGTCTCTGTCTTTCGCAGCACCTCTAGGGGAGTTCAGGGCACCAATCTTTTGGATAATAGCTGCATCACCCCAAACTCCAAAACTCATTACCATCAAAGCAAAGCACCTCTAGGGGAGATTACGGCACCAATCTTTTGGATAATAGCTGCATCACCCCCAACTCCAAAACTCATTACCATCAAAGCAGTTCCTTGTATCGTAACAGAGCAGAACTGCCCATGGAGTTTCCAAGGATGTGCATATATAGTTACAAAAGCAAAGTGTCACATTTTTTCACCTGTTGAGCAGCTGGTGAGTTTGAACTGCCACCTTTTTTTTGTTGTTGTTGTTGTCGTCGGTAGGCAAGCACTTTAACCACTGTGCTACCAGGCCTTCTTTGCACCAGGAAGGGACCCATTAAAATTGCTATAGCCTGGGAATGCCCAACCACACAGATCTAGTCACCAAAGCACTACCCTAGTACACATCAGCATTTGTACATTCTCCTCTTTCCAACATTTCATTGTGAAGTATGCTAGCAAGAATATGTATTGTTATACAGCACTCTGAAACAGGGCTGAGATTTTGGTAATAATACAGTAGGGGTGTAGTTTCTCCCTCTAGATAATTTATATCTATCATATGCATCTTTCTTAATGCTATAGGATGAAAGCCACTCAATGCAATACAATACTTTCATTAGCAAAGTGTTTTAGATTGTACTTTTCTTTGATAATGTTCTGAATAAAAATGCATGCTTTTACCCAGATAGAACTCTTTCTTTACTACAAGTAAGGAATCATATATTTAAGTATATTGGCTGGTGAACTCAGCTGCAAACCAAAATAGTCAATGGTTCAAACCCACCAGTCACTCCTTGGGAAAAGATGTGGCAGTCCACTTCTGTAAAGATACACCATCCTGGAAATCTTATAAGGCCGCTTCTACTCTGTCCGCTGGGTCATCATTAATCAGAATCAGCTCACTGATTTGATTTGGTGGTCAGTATTTGGAGAATTGAATATTTTCAATGTACAGCAGTTAACGGAGCAGACCAATTGAAGAGGTATTGCACAACATTCCTGCCTCTGTCACTCTAAATCATTGTAAAAATCATGTTTGCTAAAGGAAGGTCAACATTGAGGAGAAAAACGTCAAATTTTGAAGTCAGCAAACATTTAAAAAATGTACAATAGACTCTTACTGAGAGCTCATTAAACTCTAGGTACCATAACCCATCTGAGGATCCAAATAAGAGTACTGAGCTCTGTCCTAAAGAAACTCATGATCCAGGTGGAGAGAAAAATAGTGAGAAAGTGCTGTTTCTTCTGAACTCTTAGGGCATTGTGAGAGGGGATAGGATTTAACTGGAAATCACTGTTGTTTTTGTTATATGCCATCGAGTCATCTGCAACCCATAGCAACCCTACGTACAACGGCCCTAAACCCTGCTTTGTCCTGTGCCAACCTCACTGTCTCTGATACACCCACCTCCATTACCCCAGTCACTGAATCAATCCACCTCATTGAGGACCTTCCCCTCCTGCGCTGTCCCCCCACTCTCCCAAGCATGATGTTCTTCTCCAAGAACTGGTTCCTCTAACTCATAATCAAATTCACTGCCATCAAGTCAATTCTGATTGAAAGCAACCCTATAGAGTAGAACTGTCCCACTGGGTTTCTGAGACTAGCAGAGTGCTCCATCTTTCTTCCGTGGAGTGACAAGTGGGTTTGAACCACCACCCTTCCAGTTAGTGGTCCAACATTTAACCCACTGCTCTATGCAGTTCCTTGGATATTGCTTCAGAGATCATCTAATTTAGTGATTTTTAGCAGTAAAAGACTTTATTTTAATTATAAATACGTAACATATCATTAAATATACACTATAGATAACATATATTGTTGTTGTTTTATGCCAGTGAGTAAGAAGTGACTCAACAGATCCTTCAGTGGGTTTTCAGAGGCAGTAAATGACACAGGAGGAGGTGGCCCATCTTTCTCCTACTATGTAACATACAGCTATATAAACACACACACACATACACAAGGGAAACTCTGGTGGTGTAGCCCGTAGGGAATTGCACTGCTAACCCCTAGGCCACCCTTCTCTGGTAGTTACATCCACCATCAGCTCCACAGGAAAAATGGGCAATCTCTTCCCATTACTTACAGATTCAGAAACCCAGTGGGAAGGGTCAGCTATGAGTTGGTACAACTTGATAATAGTGAGGGGGCTTTTTCAAGATATGTAATTATATATGTAGTTCTGGTGGCCTACTGGGTAAAGAGTTGTGCTGCCAACTCAAGGTAGTTGGTATCCACCAGCAGCTCCATTGAGAAAGATAGGCATTCTCTTCCCATGCAATTTACAGTCTCTGAAAAATCTTCTGGAGGGTCAGATCTGAGTCCATTCTAACACAACAGCACATGACAACAACATATCTATCTATCTATCTAT